GTGTTATGTGTGTTGTTTGTACCCGGAGTGCAGCCCAGAGACAATTGTGTGCAGTTTGTTTTGTCTTTTTTTTTTTTTACCTAAAACACACACCAACACTAAGGGGTTTATTTACTAAAGCTGGAGAGTCCAAAATCAGACTCCCTTCTGCATAGAAACCAATCAGCTTCTAACCTCAGCTTGTTCAATGAAGCTTTGGCAATGAAACCTGGAAGCTGATTGGTTTCTATGCAGAAGGGAGTCTGATTTTGGACTCTCCAGCTTTAGTAAATAAACCCCTAACTGACACCGATACCAAAATTGTTATTTAAACCTGACCTTTGACCCCAACACTAACCCCGGCACTGAACTACATCAAACCTTCATCTAGGGATTTCTCTTTATTTTGTCTTTTATTTTTTAATATTTATTTATCTTCTTTTCTTTTTTTTACAAACATTTTTTTTTTTCTCTCTATGCCAGGAGTTAGAGAGATAAAATGTATAATAGGATGTATATAATGATACAATGTATAATGGAATGTATATAATGATACAATGTATAATGGAATGTATATAATGATACAATGTATAATGGGATGTATATAATGATACAATGTATAATGGAATGTATATAACGATACAATGTATAATGGAATGTATATAATGATACAATGTATAATAGAATGTATATAACGATACAATGTATAATGGGATGTATATAATGATACAATGTATAATGAGATGTATATAACGATACAATGTATAATAGAATGTATATAACGATACAATGTATAATGGAATGTATATAACGATACAATGTATAATAGAATGTATATAACGATACAATGTATAAGGGAATGTATATAATGATACAATGTATAATGAGATGTATATAACGATACAATGTATAATAGAATGTATATAATGATACAATGTATAATGAGATGTATATAACGATACAATGTATAATAGAATGTATATATAATGATACAATGTATAATGGAATGTATATAATGATACAATGTATAATGGAATGTATATAACGATACAATGTATAATATGATGTATATAAACGATACAATGTATAATAGAATGTATATAATGATACAATGTATAATGGAATGTACAGCATATAATGATACAATGTATAATGGAATGTATATAATGATACAATGTATAATGGAATGTATATAATGATACAATGTATAATGGGATGTATATAACGATACAATGTATAATAGGATGTATATAATGATACAATGTATAATGGAATGTATATAATGATACAATGTATAATGGAATGTATATAATGATACAATGTATAATGGAATGTATATAATGATACAATGTATAATGGGATGTATATAATGATACAATGTATAATGGAATGTATATAATGATACAATGTATAATGGAATGTATATAACGATACAATGTATAATATGATGTATATAACGATACAATGTATAATAGAATGTATATAACGATACAATGTATAATAATAGAATGTATATAATGATACAATGTATAATGGAATGTACAGCATATAATGATACAATGTATAATGAAATGTACAGTATATAATGATACAATGTATAATGGAATGTATATAATGATACAATGTATAATGGAATGTATATAATGATACAATGTATAATGGAATGTATATAATGATACAATGTATAATGGAATGTATATAATGATACAATGTATAATATAATGTATATAATGATACAATGTATCTTTCTCCTCCATTCATCAAGTGAGAAAAAAAATCAGCTATCACAGCGATCATGTGACCTGAAATCGGAGTCCCGGGTCCCGATCGTTAGAACGGTGCGGCACGCTCCCAGCACAGGGACAGGTACACAAATATGTGGCCCCCAGGAAAAAAGCCCGGTTCTGTGAGGCGGCATATTTGTGTGATGTCGGCATCAAGGAGTTAACATTTTTTTTTTTTAACTTTGGTTGAAAAAATAAAAGTTGATCCTGCCAGCAATCCTGTGAGCTGACAACGTCCTGTGTTCTGTGTTCTGTGTTCTCTGCATGTTGTTCTGTGTTCTCTGCATGTTCTGTGTTCTCTGCATGTTCTGTGTTCTCTGCATGTTCTGTGTTTTCTGCATGTTCTGTGTTCTCTGCATGTTCTGCACTCTTATCAGTTACTATTGTTCCAAGCGTTCTCAGTGGATTACAGACCCCCCTCCCCCCCCATGTTATGGAGATGATGAGGGGTGGTGTTCTGTAGCTATAGCTCACTTCCTGTCATGGGGTGACTACACTGCTCCTCCATAGATACAGTAGGTGAGTGTTGTCACCAGTGGTGAATTTGGGTTTTGCCCCCCCCCATGGAGAGACCTTGATACTGACCAACACCCCTCCCCCAAGAAGAGAGCGTCACATTGGCTAACAACACCCCAACCCCCACCCCCACCCAACAGGGCCTTCCACTACCACTGCCCCCCATACACTGGCAAACCCCCCCACCCCGTGTGAGAGATAAGACACTCCCCTTCACAGCTCCGGACATCCCCGGGAACAATAGTCAGGCTCTGCATACACCATCAAGCAGCCCGCAGCCTCTCTCAGATCCCGCTGGTCCCCGTGCTGTGTGTGTCCCTTCTTCCATCCCTTCTTTCAGGGAGTGGCACTGCCCCCCAGAAAAATGCCACCCTAGGCAAATGCCTTGTTTGCCTTGTGACTGATCAGCCTCCTCTGATGTCACTGGGAGCGTCTCACAATGTGCATTAGAAGCTGCAACAAGTCAGATAGAGCTCCGCCTCCTTTCCTGGCTGGAGGACGTCTAGCTTCATCTAGATCTTTCCACCCCAGCCTGACTGTCCCTGCCCCCCCCCCCTTTCATTAATTGGATTTTAGTTTTTTAAGTTGTGGAGCATCACACGTGGGAATAGGGAGGTCTGCATGCAAACACAGATTTCCTAGGAATGCCAACTGTGGCAGACGCCCATTTTGATATTTCCATGACTCCTCCAAAGAGCCAACCAACTGTTTGCATCAGAACTGAGGGCACCTGAGAGGAGTACTGAGGCAGGGAGCTGTGATGTTTCCAGAGGAAGCTATGCACAGCCCCCCTGACACCCCCCTCCCCCCCAGCCATGATCTGCCTGCATTGCATAGAGAGCAACAGAGACCAAGTTGATGTCGCTGGTTCTAAAATAAGCTAATTAAAATAGAAAAGTTGAATTTAGAAGAAGTATTAGTCTGTTGATGAGGGAAAGGAGGGGCCAGGGAAGGAATTGTATAAGCAGAATAAACGTCGGCTGAAACTAAGACAAGAATATGAATCCTGATTGGCTGATTCTACAAACCCAAGCTGCACAATTGTACATGTTAGACACGCAGAGAACACGGGATACACGGGATACACGGGATACACAGACTCTTACTAACCACAGGCTACATTTCATTAGACGGGGTAATTATCTAATAGGTCCTAATAGGCCGATCACCAGATCCTGAGATACGGAGGTAATAACATCGATGAGGAGACAGAGGAATGGAGATTCAGGTCATCCTTCAGTCCTGATGGGGCCTCATCAACGGAGAGGAGAGCATTCAAGGTTCTTCCAACCATCAGAAATGAGAAAAAACATCGGAAATGCTATCTAACTCCATACAACGTGTGCCGGATAGTGGATCATCCCTTGAAATATAATTATATATATACAAACATACATTATATTGCCCCAAGTATTGGTCGCCGGCCTTCCCCCACACACATGACCTTTAATGGCCCCCCAGTCTTAGTCCGTAGGGTTCAATATTGAGTTGGCCCCCCCGCCCTTCCCACACACATGCCCTTTAATGCTCCCCCAGTCTTAGTCCGTAGGGTTCAATATTGAGTTGGCCCCGCCCTTGCCACACACATGCCCTTTAATGACCCCCAGTCTCAGTCCGTAGGGTTCAATATTGAGTTGGCCCCGCCCTTTCCACGCACATGACCTGTAATGGCCCCCCAGTCTTAGCCCGTAGGGTTCAATATTGAGTTGGCCCCGCCCTTTGCAGCTATAACAGCTTCAACTCTTCTGGGAAGGCCGTCCACAAGGTTTAGGAGGGTGTCTATGGGAAGGTTGGACCATTCTTCCAGAAGCACATTTGTCAGGTCAGGCACTGATGTCGGGGGAGGAGGCCTGGCTCGCAGTCTCCGCTCTAATTCATCCCAAAGGTGTTCTATGGGGTTGAGGTCAGGACTCTGTGCAGGACAGTCAAGTTCCTCCACCCCAAACTGGCTCCTCCATGTCTTTATGGACCTTGCTTTGTGCACTGGGGGGCAGTCATCCACATGAAATTGTCCAAAATGTCTTGGAATGCTGACTCCTTAAGAGTTCCCTTCACTGGAACTAGGGGGCCAAGCCCACCCCCTGAGGAACACTCCCACACCATAATCGCCCCCCCCCCCCCCCACCAAACTTTACACTTGGCACAATGCAGTCAGGCAAGTACTGTTCTCCTGGCAACCGCCAAACCCAGACACGTCCATCGGATTGCCAGACAGAGAAGCGTGATTGGTCCCTCCAGAGAACACGTCTCCGCTGCTCTAGAGTCCAGTAGCGGCGTGCTTTACACCACAGCATCCGACGCTTTGCATTGCACTTGGTGATGGAAGGCTTGGATGCAGCTGCTCGGCCATGGAAACCCATTCCATGGAGCTCTCTACGCACTGTTGTTGGGCTCATCTGAAGGCCACACCAAGTTTGGAGGTCTTTAGCTATTGACTCTGCAGACAGTTGGTGACTTCTGCGCACTGTGCGCTTCAGCATGCGCTGACCCCCGCCCTGTCATGTGATGTGGCCTACCACTTGGTGGCTGAGTGGCTGTTGTTCCCAGTGGCTTCCACTTTGTTATAATCCCACTAACAGTTGAGCGTGGAATATTTAGTAGCCAGGAAATGTCACGGATGGACTTATTGCCCAGGTGGCCACCTATCACGGGACCACGCTTGGAGTCACTGAGCTCCTGAGAGCGACCCATTCTTTCACCAATGTTTGTAGAAGCCGTCTGCATGCCTAGGGGATGGATTGTATACACCTGTGGTCATGGAGGGGATTGGAACACCTGAATCACATGATATGGAGGGGATGGGGAAACACCTGAATCACATGATATGGAGGGGATTGGAACACCTGAATCACATGATATGGAGGGGATGGGAACACCTGAATCACATGATATGGAGGGGATTGGAACACCTGAAACACATGATATGGAGGGGATTGGAACACCCGAATCACATGATATGGAGGGGATTGGAACATCCGAATCACATGATTTGGAAGGGATTGGAACACCTGAATCACATGATTTGGAAGGGATTGGAACACCTGAATCACATGATATGGAGGGGATTGGAACACCTGAATCACATGATATGGAGGGGATTGGAACCCCTGAATCACATGATATGGAGGGGATTGGAACACCTGAATCACATGATATGGAGGGGATTGGAACACCTGAATCACCTGATATGGAGGGGATTGGAACACCCAAATCACATGATATGGAAGGGGTGGGGGAAAATACTTTGGCCAATATAGAGTGTATGTATATATATAGGTTTGGATAGACTTCAGTAACACTGACAGTTCTCTTCCTTCCCCCAGCCAGTGACTGGACAGTGTAAGGAGAAGCAGCAGACTGGGCTCATCTCTCTGCCAGTCTGAGCTCTGCTGTACCGGGACTAGAGGAAGATTCCAATTCATTTTCAAGTGTCAAATCAATAAAGTGAAGAAAGGAAATATATAAAATGTATCAATGAAGACAGAGCGGCATTAAGCTGCGTCTTCTCTGTCCGCCTGGAGTTCAGCTTTTACATAAATGAGTTGTGAATTTTGGCTTTTAGTCTCCTGCGGAACCTTCCGGAAATATTCCCATCACCCGCTGTCCTATATAGGCTTCCAGCCTCCTATTTCTGGTACAAAGACGCACACCGGGGCCAATGCGGTGGGTGGGGGGAGGGGAGGTTAACCCATTTGCTGCTTCCAGTGTGGCGCCGACATGTATGGACTCCCTGCAGATAAAATGTGTAAAATATAAAATTTTACTAAAATCAATAAAAAAAAAAAAAAAAAGTTTTTTTAAGAGCCATCAGTCATGGCTGACCGCAGATTGGTGGCCTGTACCCCAGATTGGTGGCCTGTACCCCAGATTGGTGGCCTGTACCCCAGATTGGTGGTCTGTACCCCAGATTGGTGGCCTGTACCCCAGATGGGTGGCCTGTACTCACTTTCATACCTTGTTGTCACGAGCGAGAAAGCAGACAGCTGAGCCGCAGTTTTACTGACCACCGAGCCGCAAGTCAACATGGCAGTAAAATTATACCCCAGGTTGCATTTGGCAACCAGTAAAAACCGAGAGGCAGTAAGACTGCGGCTCAGCCTCCTGTTTTTACAGCCCCCTCATCCTCCCGTATCAAAGAGACCCAATGAATGAAATTGCAGCAACTCAGAATGGTCCTCAGTAGTCTGTGTGGCCCCCACGTCCTTGTATGCATGCCTGACCACGTCGGGGGAGGGGCCTAATGAGACCACGGATGGTGTCCTGGGGGATTTCCTCCCAGATCTGGACCATCACTGAGCTCCTGGACAGTCTGAGGTGCAACCTGGGGGCGTCGGATGGACCGAAACATGACATCCCAGAGGGGTCCTATTGGATTTAGGTCAGGTGAGCGTGGGGTCCGTTCAATGGTATCAATTCCTTCATCCTCCAGGAACTGCCGGCATACTCTCCCCACATGAGGCCGGGCATTGCCCTGCACCAGGAGGAACCCAGGACCCACCGCGCCAGGAGGAACCCAGGACCCACCGCGCCAGGAGGAACCAAGGACCCACCGCGCCAGGAGGAACCCAGGACCCACCGCGCCAGGAGGAACCCAGGACCCACCGCGCCAGGAGGAACCCAGGACCCACTGCACCAGGAGGAACCCAGGACCCACCGCACCAGGAGGAACCCAGGACCCACCGCACCAGGAGGAACCCAGGACCCACCGCACCAGGAGGAACCCAGGATCCACCGCACCAGGAGGAACCCAGGACCCACCGCACCAGGAGGAACCCAGGATCCACCGCACCAGGAGGAACCCAGGACACACTGCACCAGGAGGAACCCAGGACCCACCACACCAGGAGGAACCCAGGACCCACTGCACCAGCGTAGGGTCTGACAATGGGTCCAAGGATCTCATCCCCATACCTAATGGCAGTCAGGGTGCCATTGTCTATCCTGTAGAGGTCTGTGTGTCCCTCCATGGATATGCCTCCCCAGACCATCACTGACCCACCACCACAACGGTCATGCTGAACCATGTTACAGGCAGCAGAACGTTCTCCACGGCTTCTCCAGATCCTTTCACGTCTGTCACATGTGCTCAGGGGGAACCTGCTCTCATCTGTGAAAAGCACAGGGTGCCAGTGGTGGACCTGCCAATTCTGGGGTTCAATGGCAAATGCCAATCCAGCTCTATGGTGCCGGGCAGTGAGCACAGGGCCCACTAGAGGACGTCGGGCCCTAAGGCCACCCTCATGAAGTCTGTTTCTGATTGTTTGGTCAGAGACATTCTCACCAGTGGCCTGCTGGAGGTCATTCTGTAGGGCTCTGGCAGGGCTCATCCTGTTCCTCCTTGCACAAAGGAGCAGATACCGGTCCTGCTGATGGATTAAGGACCTTCTACGGCCCTGTCCAGCTCTCCTAGAGGAACTGTCTGCCTCCTGGAATCTCCTCCATGCTCTTGAGACTGGAGGAGTTGGACTGCCTGTGCAACCTCTGTAGGGTCCAGGTATGGCCTCATGATACCAGTAGTGACACTGACCCGAGCCAAATGCAAAACTAGTGAAAAACAGTCAGAAAAGATTAATAAATGTCAGTGGCCTCCACCTGTAAAACCATTCCTGTTTTGGGGGTCGTCTCATTGTTGCCCATCTAGTGCACCTGTTGTTCATTTCATGAACACCAAAGCAGCTGAAACTGATTACCATCCCCCTCTGCGACTTCCCTGACCAGATCCATATCCCGGGAGTGTCATGGACTTCATGCGACTCGGATTACAAAGTCTTCCTTTCATTGGTTTAGGCGTTGTGTATACAGAGGTCCTAGAGAATAAAATGCTGAATGTTGCAATTTTTATATCATACAGAATTTTTAAATGAAATGTTTTTTAGAAAATAGTTAAATGAATTTTAAAACCCCACAACATATGACCCAATTTAAGAGATGATTTTGCGCTGAGTAGATCCCTGACATGTGACACGTTTTGTGTTTTCTCTCTCATTAGAAGTGGAGTTACACTTTAACAACTGCCCTCCCGGGACATTTCTGACATTTCTCTCCTACATGTAAAAATCATTTTTTTTGGCTAGAAAATTAGGCAAAACCTGCAAACATTATATCTATCTATCTAAAAAAAAATTAAATACGGATCTCAACTTTCCAGAAAAAAAATGGCGGTGTTTACATCTGCATAGCTCCCAACTGTCCCCGATGTCAAGGGGATATGGAGAGTCCCTGATATGGAGAGACTGGCTCTGATTTGGAACCAAGTCCCTCTGTCCCTCCTTCCTCCTCATTAGTCCCTTATTTGAACTGCAAGTGATATCATGACGTCAGTTCAGTGTGCATCTGCCAGAACTGCAAGTGACGTCATGACGTCGGCTCAGTGTGCATCTGCCAGAACCGCAAGTGACGTCATGACGTCGGCTCAGTGTGCATCTGCCAGAACCGCAAGTGACGTCATGACGTCGGCTCAGTGTGCATCTGCCAGAACCGCAAGTGACGTCATGACGTTGGCTTAGTGTGCATCTGCCAGAACCGCAAGTGACGTCATGACGTCGGCTCAGTGTGCATCTGCCAGAACCGCAAGTGACGTCATGACGTTGGCTTAGTGTGCATCTGCCAAAATGGAAGAGACGTCATGACGTCGGCTCAGTGTGCATCTGCCAGAACCGCAAGTGACGTCATGACGTTGGCTTAGTGTGCATCTGCCAAAATGGAAGAGACGTCATGACATCGGTTCAGTGTGCATCTGCCAGAATGGAAGAGACGTCACAATGTCGCTTCAGTGTGCATCTGCCATAACTGGAAGTGACATCATAACGTCGGCTCAGACCTCCCAGGAACATAGAGATGGCCAGGGACCATCTGGTCTATGGCTGTCTCTATGAAAACCCAACAGAACTGCCGTCTCGGATGCCGGACATCTTCATCGCTCAGGAGAGCCATAGAGATGCCAATAGGTGGCTGTAGGGGGGGAGGGATGTCTCCTCCTTCTGCCTGTAAAAAGAAATCCAACTGCTAGTTAGCCGCTAGGATGGCTTTTACACTGCGGCTGAACAGACAGATACTGGGATGATGCCTGTAGCTGCACTGTATAAACTCAAAGTCCAGGATGTCAGATGACGTCCTACGGGCGGCGAGTAGGTAATCCTACAGCCTAAAATGCACATTTTAAATAATTTTTAAAAAAAAACGTAAAAAAAGACCCCAGATTAAGGGTTTTGGTTCTAAAAAAATATGATAATAAATGAATATATATATTTCAGGTACTTATATAGCGCCGTCAATTTACGCAGCGCTTTACATATATATTGTACATTCCCATCAGTCCCCGCCCCCGAGGAGCGTACAATCTAAGGTCCCTAATTCACATTCATTCATATACTAGGGACAATTTAGACAGGAGCCAATTAACCTACCAGTATGTCTTTGGAGTGTGGGAGGAAACCAGAGTACCTGGAGGAAACCCACACAGGCACAGGGAGAACATGCAAACTCCATGCAGGTGGTGCCGTGGTTGGGATTCGAACCAACAACCCGAGTACTGCCAGGTGGAAGGGCTAACCACTTACCCACTGTGCTGCCCTCTATATATATATATGATACAAAAATGATACAAAAAAACACCAAATACATACAAAAAGGTAAAACATCGAGTTAGAGCCCTGGCTGAATTTGGGACCCCAGCAGTGAAATGCTGCCCCCCCTCCCTCCCCCCCCCCCACTGCCCCGCTGTCTGTTCGGATGGAATCTTCTCCAATAAGAGGAGTAAATGGCGATCGCCCCGACCGCGGGAGCAGAAGATTCTCCGCTAAAATCGTTTCTCCCTCTCCGTCTGACTTGAGCGCCGGAGGCGAAATGTTGGGATCTCCGCAGCTAAACGTTTGGTTTCCTTTTCTTCGGGGGGGGGGGGGGGGGGGTGACACGAAGGAACGGTCACATTTCTCGCCGTCCTTATCATTTTGAGGAGCCGCAGATTTATTGCGCTGTAACCCGCCGCGGGGCGCGCAGCAGACAGACAACGGCCTCCTGACAAATGAGGGGAGCGGAGAAATCTGCTGATTCTTCCAGACTTGATCAGATTGGAGCAATTTAAACGTTATTCCACATAATGCGACTTCCCGGGAGACCGCGCCATTTATTCATGTGCGCCCAAACAAAAACGTCGCTTTTTCCTCGCAACGATGGGGGTTTTGGGGGGTTTTTTT